GTTATATTATAGATATGGTGAATTTGAGATGACTACAGGACGTGCCATGTGAGATGTCCAAAAGGCAGGAAGAAGCTAAAGAGAGAGTATCCATAGAGATGTGGGGTTCATGTGCACGGTGATGATAGTTGATGCCAGGCTTGTTTATGAGCTTACCTAGTGAGATAGCATAAGTTAGTGATTCTTAACTTCTTTTGCATGGTAGACCCCTTTGGCATTCTGGTAAAGCCTATGGATCTCTTCTCAGAATAATGTTTTCAAATGCATAAAATAAAATACATAGGAGTAAAAGGGGAAACCAATTATATTGGAATATAGTTATCAATATAATAAAGTAATTCACAGATCCTCTGAAATTTATTCATGAAATCAAGATGGACTCAATTTTTCCCTGACTTAGATGGAAATGATAGCTGTCTTCAAGTATTTGAAGGGCTGTCCTGTTGAAGAGGGATGATGAATTCATAAACATCTATTAAGCACTCCTATGTGTCAGTCTTTGTGCTAAGCCCCAGGAATACAAAGAAAAGCCGAAACAGCACTTGACTCAAAGGTTGTATTTCTTCTCCTTGACTCCATAGGGCAGAACTAGGAGGGATGGATAGAAAGTTGCCAGGAGGGAGTTTTTTCCCTTAATGTCAGGAATAACTTTCTAACAATTGGACATCATGCAAAATGAAACAGGCCACCTTGGAAGCTGGTGAATTCCCCTAATGAGAGTTTTTCAAGCAGAAACTCAGAGGCAGATAGGTGGTGCTATAGTGCACAGAGAACTGGGCTTGGAGTAAGGAAGACCCAAATTCAAATCCAGTTGCCAACATTTACTAGTTGTGTAATCCCAAGCAAGTCACTTAACCTCTGTTTGCTTCAGTTTCTTCATCTGTAAAATGGGACGCTAGTAGTACCTACCTCCTAGGATTTTTTCTTTTTTTTCTTTAAAAAATTTTTTTTTCCTCCTAGGATTGTTATGAGGATCAAATGAAATAATAATTATAAAGCACTTAGCACAATGCCCTGGCACACAGAAAATGCTGTATAAATGTTATGTATTATTATTATATTGACAACCATTTGTTGGAAATGACGTTGAGGACATTGTCATTTAAGTATGGACTTAAGGTTGGACTAGAGAGCCATGGAGGTCACTTCCAACTTGGAGACTCAGGAGTTCTGTTATTCTATGTTGCCCAGGTCAGCATAGGTGCCTCTGTCTTCCAGCACTGTCTAAAATATTGTATGTGACCTCTGAAGTGTCATTGATTTCAAAGGACAGTGGCTTTTATTGAAGAGATAGATGCACGCCCTGCAGCTGCCAACTGTAGGAGGAGCAAGGGAGGGTGTAATCCCCTCTAGTTTTCTTTAAATCTGACAGGATCTAATAAGAGCCTGTAATACTAAACTGTGTGATCTTGGGCAAGTAGTTTTACCCATCTGGGTCTCAGGTTGCTCATTTCTAAAAATCAGTCCAATAATACTTTTTACTTCCTCTTCTGGAGTTTTTTTTTTTTGGTTGTTGAGAGGATGCTTTGTGGACTTTAAAACTTTATAGAAGTGTGAGCTGTTTTTATTAGAATGGCTGCTATATAATCACTATGGCAGAGAAAGTGATGTGGGGGTTGAGGTAGGGTCTTACCCTGCTAGAGAGAAGATAAAGTGGGATATGGTAAGGGTGTTTAAAGTCATTTAAGGCAGCCAGCAGCCGTAAGTCTGAGTGACAGCTATTCCACTTTCAGAAAGAAAACAAAACAAACCTAAGACTTTTGGTAACTTCAGACAGAAGTCAAGTGACTTGTGTAGCATCACACAGCTGGGGCTGGATTTGAACTCAGATATTCCTAATTCTAGGTCCAGGAGGCTAACCACTCCACCACCAGCTGCCTTTAGTAGTAGCATTAACAGCAACAGAAGTAGCAGTAGCAATACCAGTTGTAGTATTAATAGTAGCAACAGTAGTAGCAGTAGCAGCAGCAGTAGTAAAAGTAGCAGCAGTAGCAGTAACATTAGTACTAGTGTTACTAGTAGTAGCATCAGCAACATCAGAAGTAGCAGCAGCAACAGTAGTAGTATCAGTAGCAATAGCAGTTGTAGTAGTAATAGTAGTACTAGTAACAGTAACATCAGTAGTAGCAGCAGCAGCAGTAGTAGCAGCAGTAGCAGTAACATTAGTACTAGTATTACTAGTAATAGCATCAGTAGTAGCAGCCGCAACAGTAGCAGTAGCAGTAGCAATAGCATCAGTAGTAGTAATAGTAGGGTCAGTAGCATCACCAGTACCAGAAATACTGATAGCAGTAGCAGCAGTAACAGCAGCAGCAGCAGTAATAATGATAGCTAACATTCATAGAGCGCTTTAAGGTCTGCAAAGTGCTTACAAACATGATTTCATTTGATTCTTATAACAACTCTATAATGTAGGTGCAGTAATGATTCCCATGTTTACAGATGAGGGGAAGTGAAGAGACTTGTCCAAGGTCACACAGCTAATGTCTGGGGTCAGATCCAAACCCCCTGGTTCCTGATTCCACATCCAATGCTGTCCTACTATACTTTTTACATATGTGTGTGAGAGGATACCAAAGTGCATGCAAATGCCTTCATTACTTTTGAGTTCCCTAGAGCTTTGGCCCTTTAAACGTGCCAAAGGAAAATAATTTTCCCTCTTAAAATATGTTTGTGCTACTATAATCTGTAGAAGAGAAAGTCAAACAAAAGCTGTTCTTTTATCAGAAAGAACACTGGCTTTGGTGTCAAAATATGTGGATTCACCTTCACATTAAGCCTCTTAATTAGCTTTTGACCTTGAGCTAATTATATAAACTCTTTGCACCTCAGATTCTTTAGCTTCAGGATGGGGATAATAATAAAGCTAGCCAGCATTTACATAGCACTTTAAGGTTTGCAAAAGGGCTTTACATGTTAACTCACTGATTCTTGAAACAACCCTGGAAGGTAGGTGATTATCAATCCCATTTTACAGACAAGGAAACTGAGGCACAGAAAGGTTATGTGACTTACCCAGTGTTACACAGTCAGTAAGTGATCTGAGGGAGGATTTGAATTCAGGTATTCTTGACTGCATTCTATTATGCCCCCTAGCCACCTCACAATATATTATCAACCTCATATGTTGTGAAGAAAGAATTATAAAGACAGTTCTGATGATCAAGGGGTTAATCTAACTAGAGAGCTAGAGAGAAGAAGGCAAGTCTGCACAAGAACCAGCCCATTTCCTTTTCTGACAGGGTCACTAGACTGGTAGATTGAGGATTGCTACAGATATAATGCACTTAGATTTAATTAAGGCTTTTTGATAAAGTCTCCTGTTTTTTGATAAGATGGAGAGATATGAGCCAGGTGGATTTGGAACTAGTTGAATGACTGGATCCAAAGAACAGCTATTAAGAGGACAGTGTCGACTTGGAGGCCTGTCTCCATCAAACTGTTTAGCATTTTTATTAACATTCTGGATGGAGACATAAATGACTTTCTTGTCAGATCTTTAAGTGATAAATCTTAGAGTGAAAGCTAACATACTGGATGATAGAGACCCAAGCCAAAGAGAGAGGGAAGGAGAGAGGGAGGGAGGGAGAGAGAGAGAGAGAGAGAGAGAGAGAGAGAGAGAGAGAGAGAGAGAGAGAGAGAGAGAGAGAGAGAGAGGAAAATCAGGCAATTCTGGGTAGAACTGGAGAAGGTCAAATTTAATAAAGATTAATTATTTAGTCTTATAATCCACATTTAGAGTCCAAAATTCAACTTCACAAATGTCCAGTATGTGAGAGTGAATTTGAGCCACTCATCATGGTAATTTGAACAAGGGCCCATTCTGAGTCCTAAGAGTTTTAGAATAAGGAAATTGTATCAATTTCTCCTATTCATTTCAGCTCCTACATTTAATAGGTCAGGGGTGGGGAATCCATGGCCTTGAGGCCACATGTGGCCTTCTAGGTCCTTGGATACGGTCTTTATACTGAGTCCAAGTTTTATAGAACAAATCCGGTAAATTCTGTAAAACTTGGACTCAGTCAAAAGACTTGAAGACCCAGAAGGCCACACATGGCCTTGAGGCTGAAGGTTCCCCACCCCTGGACTAGGTGGTCAACCAGCAGTTGCACCAGGAAATGGAAAAGGCCTCATCATAAGAAGGCACAGATTTTCCTATGAAAAGAAAAAAAAAATCTGGTGGTTTTAGAGGCCTATGAGCTCAGTGTGAGTTCTCTGTATAACAGAGTAACCCAAAAAGCTAATGCTGTCCTAGGTAACATTAAAGGAGCTACAGTATATATAGACATGTATACATAGATACAGTATATATAAATATAGTACATATACATATGCTGTCCTAGGCAAACAGAAAGGGAAGCATAGCGCAAACTAGGTGGCACAGGGAATTAGAGCTTTGGTCTTGGAGTCAGGAAGACCTGAGTTCAAATTTGTCCTTAGACACTAGCTATAGTGACCCTGGGCAAGTCAATTCACCTCTGTATGCCTTATTTTCCCCAACTATAAAATGGGAGATGATAATAATATCATCCACCTGCCAAGATTGTGAAGATAAAATGAGATAATATTGGTAAAGAACTTATCAGAGTACCTGGCACATATAGGTCCTTAATAAATGCTTATTCTCCTCCCTTATCAAGTAATGCTATTTGAGGAAAAGAATGCTATCTGAGGCAGCTAGATAGTACAGATAGCATGCAGGACGTGGGATCAGGAAGACTCAGATCAAATCCAGCATCAGATACTTATGAGTTGTGTGATCCTAAGCAAATCACTGAAGACTCTGCTTCAGATTTCCTATCTATAAAATGGGAGTAATGATAACACTTACCTCACAGGGTTCTTATGAGGTTAAAATGAGATGACATTTGTAAAATTCTTTGTAAACTTAACAGCTCTATATAAATACTGGTTGTCATCATCATCATTATCATCATCATCATTGATTCTTCTTTATTCTGCCTGGGCCAGACCATACTGTACTATGTTCAGTTTTAGGCATGACATTTTAGGAAAAAATGAAACAAGTCAGAGTGTGTCCAGAAGAAAGCAACATTCAGCAAAAAGATTTATTAAAGGACCTGAGGACCTTTATCCTGGAAAAGATAATTCTTAGGAAGGAAATCATTGCTGTTTGTAAGTGTTTGAAATGCTATTCATGAGATCTTGGATTGTATTAAGGACATATAATGTCAAGGGCAAGGGCATGATAATCCTGCTGTGCTTGGCAGTGGTCAGATGGCCTCTGGAATAGTATGTTCTGTTCTGAGGGACATATTTTAGGAAGGATGTTAATAGGCATGAGAGCTGTCAAAGTGGGACAACAAGGATGGTAAGGAGCCTCAGGAATCAGTTGAAGGAATTGGGATTAGTGAGCCTGGAGAAAACCTGGGGAGATGATAATTGTCTTTAGGGCAATCTTGGAGACAAGAGGCTAGATTTGTTTAGCTTGGGCACAGGGGTGGGGGTAGAACTTAGTACCAATGGATAAGAGCTGGAAAGAGCAGATTTAGATTTGATATAAGGAAAAACTTCCTAACAATTAAAGTTATTTCAAAGGAAGCTGAGCTACTCCATTAGGTAATAACAATAACAACAGTTGGTATTTATATAGTTCTTTGAAGTTGGCAAAATTTTTACATATGTTAATTCATTTGATCCTCATAGCAACCCTGTGAAGCAGGGCACTATTATTAACCCCATTTTACAGAGGAAGAAACTGAAGGTAAGAGAGGATAATTGACTTGCCCAGGATCACATAGCTAGTAAGCATTTGAGGCAGGATTCAAATTCAGGTCTCCTTGAAGCCAAGTATAGCACCCTAACCTCTATGTCACTTTGATGATCTAGTAGTGGGTTCTACCTTATTAGAGATATCTCCCTTCTGAGGCTGGATGGTATGTCTTTGTGTGGTATATTCATGTGTCTGGTATGTCATAGGGGGATTCTTATTTATTATGGACTAGGTGACCCCTGTGATCCTTTCCAGCTTTAAAATTCTGTACTTCGGTGATTCTGTAATTCACTTTTATGATGACCACTGGCCTATGATCATAACTGTGTAGGCACAGATTGTCAGCCCACATCATCACCGTGAAGGGGTTGCTGCAATGCATGCTAGTTTCTGCAGTAATATAACAAAGCTGTGATGTGCTGAAGGCCTGCTGGGCTTTTGCCCTTTTAATGGCACTTGACATAGCACTTCTTTTTCTGGTGGAGTTCTCCTCTCCTATCTGCCTCAGAAAAAAAGTGAAATTTATGTTGATTCACTCAGAAATCAAGAAAGGGCCTTAAATATCAATTCGTCATTTTTCATACATAAAAACTGAGATCCAGAGGAGAAACAAACTTTTGTTTAAGGTTCTAGAGAGGCAGAATCAGCACTGAAACCCAGGTCTTGTGACCCCGCTTCAAGCCAGACTTCTCTTGACCGTATTTCTTCCATTATGGCCAGTGAGACCTCTAGGGAGTTCCCAATACAATTGTCAAGTAGTCAAAACTTATCTTTCCTATTCTTCCAATCTTTCTTCCCATGTAGTTAGGATGATGCTTTCTTCAAGTCCTTGCTAAAATTTCACTTTTTACAGGAAGCCTTTCCTTTGTTTTTGTTCAGTCCTGTCCAACTTGGTGATACCATTTGGGGTTTTTTTGGTAAAGATCCTGGAGTGGTTTGCCATTCCCTTCTTCAGCTCATTTTACAGATAAGAAAACCAAGGCAAACAGGGTTAAGTGACTTGCGCAGGGTCACACAGGACTAAATGTCTGAGGCCAGATTCAAACTCAGAAAGATGAGTTTTCCTGACTCCAGGCCCTGCAGTCTATCCACTGTGCCACCTAGCTCCCTAAGCCTTTCCCAACCCCTTTTAATTAGAGTGCCTTTCCCGTATTATTTCCTATTTATCCTGCGTGTAGCTTATTTATACATGTTTGTTTACATATTGTTTCCCCTGTTAGATTGTGAACTTCTTGAGAGTAGGGATGGTCTTTTGCACTTCTTTGTAACCTCAGTGCTTAGCACAATGCCTGGCACATTGATTGACCGATGCAGTGTCAAGAGGTCAATATTTGGAATCAGAGGACATGGGTTCAAATGCCAGCCCTGTCACTAACTGTGTGACCTTGGTGAAGCTGCTGAGCCTTTCTGAGCTTCAGTTTCTTCATCTGTAAGATCAGGTACTAGGACGATCATAGCACTTGAGAATTGGAAGGGATTTTAGTGTCTAATCCATCTAATCCAATCCATAAACCCGACTTGAAGATCCCCACAGAGAGGGAACCTATCAACAGTCTAGGCATCCCATTCCACTTTTGTGTAGCTCTTTTGTTGTTATTTTTGAGTCATTTTTAGTCGTGTCTGATTCTCCTTGACCCCATTTGGGGTTTTCTTGGCAAAGAAATGGTTTGCCACTTCCTTCTTCAGCTCATTTTACAGATAAGAAAACTAAGGCAAACAGGTTTAAGTGACTCACCTAGGGTCACACAGCTAATAAGTGTCTAAGGCCAGTTTTGAACTCAGGAAGACGAATCTTCCTGATTCCCAACCCAATATTCTATCCACTGGCCTCTGGCTGATCTTCAGTTGTCCTGATCTATATCTGACCACTGGACCCAGATGGTTCTGGAGGAGAAAAGTGAGGCTGGTAACTTTGCACAGCCCTCTCTCACTTAAATCCAATTCATTTTTTTTTTAGGCAATTGGGGTTAAGTGACTTGCCCAGGGTCACATGGCTAGTAAGTGTCAAGTGCTTGGTCTGAGGTCGGATTTGAACTCAGTACTGCCTGACTTCAGGGCCAGTGCTCTATCCACTGCGCCACCTAGCTGCCCCCAAATCCAGTTCATTTTCAAGTCATGGCATCACCTCCCTGATGTCATGGTCCTCTTTGAGAATGAAGGACAAACCACAGCTTTCAAGTCCTGTCCAGCTTGTGTTACATCACTTCCTTTCCACCCCGAGCCCTCCCTGTCCTCCCTCCTTTTCCAATGCCTGATTCCCTAAGGGCCTGTTCTCATTTAGGTGATGGTGATTCTGAAGTAGTAAGATAAACTGATACAAAGAAAGGCTTCCAGTAAAAGGGAACCTCTTACCTATTCCATTTTGAGATGGTTCTAAATTTAGAGTTGTTCCCATATACCCCAAACTGCCTCTCTTCAACTTCTGCCCACTGGGACTGTTTTCTACCTTCCAGGGCCAAGCCAGAGTCATTCAAATCATGGCCCACATGACAGCTTTAAATCAGATGAAACTGTAAAAATTTGGTCCACAGAGGCAAGTTTGATTGATTACAAATGGGGCAAGGTTATAGGGCAGTTTTAAAATAATTGGGTGCCTTTAACAGCTTGTTCTAAGACTTAGTTATAGATGTGCAACGGGAGAAGCATAAATACTAGCAAAGGTATTTTCAAGACTTAATTAATCTTTGTAAAATGAGTGGGGGCATTTTCTGTGTGACATCGACTGCTCTGTTGTCTCTTGGGCATATTTGCAAGTATAATAGGAATGAAAAAGCTGACCCTCTACTTTAGAAACTACTTAACATGAAAATGAGAGGCTTCATCTTTTGACTGAATATACCAAACAGAGATAGCAGTCCTCTCCTATGCTTTTACCAGCAGAAGAAAAAGTATCCTCACTGCAAAACGAATGATGAAGCCTTGATTATACATCTCCTGTAAGACCTTTTTAGCTTTCCTAGTTTATGGTGCCCTATTCATCCCATAATTCTATGTGGTGCTTCTGACTGAATGAGATAATATTTGCAAAGTGCTTATCCTGATGTCCAGCACACAGTAGGCACTTAATAAATACTTGTTTCCTTCCCCTTACTCCAGTTGTTTTGGGTAGTCAGCTGTTCAACTCATGACTTAAGCCCCTAACCAATGTTTCTCTGTTGTTACTGTTCATCCTTCATTTTCTTCTTTTTTAATTTTATTTTAGGGTTTTGTTAGGTAATGGGGTTAAGTGACTTGTCCAGGGTCACACAGGTAGTACGTGTTATGTGTCTGAGGCCGGATTTGAACTCAGCTCCTCCTGACTCCAAGGCTAGAGCTCTATCCACCGTGCCGCCTAGCTGCCCCTGTTCTTTCATTTTCAGAGAAGACCAATGATACCACAGGTGATGTCTTGACTCATGAGTGAATTGGATTTAAGTGAGGCAAAGCTGTACCAAGTCATCAGTCTCACTCTCTCTTCCAGAGTCATGGAAGTCTGGTGGCAAGACAGAAAGTAAGACAACCAGCGACGGTCCAGGATGCAGTGGATGACCTGGGCGTCTTTGGTGTCTCACCAAGCTCTAAGCCTCTTTAGTAGCTGCTTCAGCCCCCTTCATGGCTGTTGGAACAACTTGTTCTCGTTGGCCCACTCCAGCAGGAGAAGTCTTCACATGCTTGGGGTAGACACCCCACCAACTCACTGAGTGGTCTGAGGCCTGTTGGTTTAGCCCACTTGCTGAGATGGTTTACTGTGGTGTGGCTGTTGTTCATGCTACAGTTTCTTGGAGCCAGAGGGTAGAGTGGGGTGAATCAAGTGGACATCAAAGGTGGATGAGCAGCCCTGAAAAAGGCTTAGGAAGCCTTCACACCAGAGGTGCTAGTCCTCCCTGTTGGTATAAAAGCAAAAACATTTCATTGACATGAACCACCCAACAAGGAAGGATACCAAGTTATAAAACATGCTTTGTTTTTTGACCCATATACAAAGGAGGCTAATCTCCTACATCTGTGGTGACATTAAAATCTAATTTCTCTCTATTCTTCCTGGTTACCTCGGCATATTCGTATAACATAAGGTTCAAAGTCCGTTGGGTGTGTGACTCTCTCCTCATCAGTGGAAATCAATGCCCTGAGTCTGCATAGGGGGAGGGGCTGAGTTAGCAAGAGTGAAAGAGAAGAAAGATTCTCTTTGCTGAGCTGAGTCTCTTTAAGTCTTCAGATCTTTCTCTAAGCTTTCTTTGAATATCTCTGGGTCTTTTAAATCCCTTTAGCCTCTTCAGGCTCTGTAGTTGTTTCTTTTTTCTCTTCTCTTCTTTTCTTTTTTTAAGTTGATTGGGGTTAAGTGACTTGCCCAGGGTCACACGGCTAGTACGTGTCAGGTATCAGGTCTGAGGCTGGATTTGAACTCAGGTCCTCCTGACTCCCGGGCTGGTGCTCCATCCATTGCACCACCTAGCTACCCCTCTTTTTTCTTTTTAATAATATTTTATTTTTCCCCCAATTGCATATTAAAATAATTTTTAACTTTTTTTTTTAAGTTTTGAGTTCCAAATTTTATTCCTCCCTCTTCCCTGAAATGGTCAGCAATCCAATATAGGTTATACATGTGCAATCATGTAAAACATTTATGCATTATTCATTTTGTACAAGAAGACTTGAACAAAAAAAAAAGAAAGAAAGTGAAAAATAGCATGCTTCAGTCTGTATTCAGTTGTTTTGAGTATTTCTGGTTTCCATGCTTCTGGCTTCTGGTCTCTAGAGAGAAGATGGATGATGCCAGCCCCACTTCAGGTTGCTGAAGGGAGATGGGAAGAAGATGACATGAAAGGAGCTAGCAGTTTTCATCTTGTCTCTAATCCTCTACTTGTTACTCTAGAGACTTTGAGGAGTTTTTCCTTGGGAAAGACTTAGGACTCTTGGTTGAGCTGAATTGGCTTGCTTCTACTGGGAGAACTCCTTCACTCTGTATTGTCTGATAAATATTCTCTTGGGTTTACTTCCTTTGATTTCTGTTTTGCTACAGTTTGGGTAAATGGGTTTCTTTGCTACTTCAGATGTGTGTTCATTATGGACCTACTATTTGGTGGCATATGAAGCTTGGGATCCTCTTGCTTCCCCTATTACTGAATAGGAATCAGTAATTTAGCCTGAACCTGAAAACCACATCCTCTAGACTAACAATGCATAGGGGAACAGATAGATATAATTCTAGCCCACTAATCCTCTTTTTGAAGAGGATAGAGTGGCCAAACTTCTTTCCCCAACCTTCTGCTTCCCCTGTTGGTGGGAATTAAAGTTGCCCTTGCAGAAGAGTGGTGGGGGCAGAAGGCTGGAAATGTCTGTTCTGCCTCTCTTTGAGGCACCCTCACCCTGCTACATGTGGGAGACACCCTCATAGATTTGATAGACTTAGCCTCTTCAGAAGTCAAGTTGCAGTGAAATATTTTTTCAGTATTGTGTAGTGCTATCTCCCTCTTAAGAGTTTCTTCCTTGAAAATTTCTAACAGCAGAGAGCAGAATGGATTTCAGGTCTGGAGTATTATATTCCAGCTACATCTCCAGCCACACCCTGGTAAACTCAGTAGATGGGCTAAACAAGGTTCAGGGTAACCGACAGGCCTCAGATCTATCAGTGAGTTAGTAGGGTATCTACCTCAAGCATGTGAAGACTTTCCTGGTGGAATGGGTGGACGAGAACAGTTTGTTCTAACAGCCATGAAGGCAGCTGAAGCAGGTATTGTGGAGCTCTTAGAGCTTGGTTAGACATTGAAGATGCCAAGGTCCCCACTCCATCCCAGGCCATCACCAGTCATCTTGACTGGGGCAGCTAAGTGGTACACTGGATAGACTGCTGGGCCTGGATTCAGGAAGACTCATCTTCTTGAGTTCTGGCCTTAGACACTTACTAGCTGTGTGACCCTGGACAAGACACTTAATCCCATTTGCCACAGTTTCCTCATTTGTAAAAGGAGCTGGAGAAGGAAATGGCCAAGCACTCCAGTATCTCTGCAAGACAACTCCAAATGGTGTCATGAAGAGTTGGACACGACTGAAACGCTGAAACAACTGAACAGCAATGTATCCCCAGCTTCTTGCACAATGCCTTGTACATAGTAGCCTCTTAACGATGGTTTTTAAATTGAAATTAATGAAACTTAACTTGTGCCCTAAGGTAAAGTCTCTTTAATTTACTAAAATGTTTATTAGAGGACTTGGGAAGGCTGAAAGCATCTGGAAAACAGAAATGATATAAAAGAATATAGAACAAATAGAAAAATATTGAATTTCTTGAAATGCAGTTTCATTATTTTCCAGAAACACATTTAAGTACGTTCATTGAACCTAGGAGTCAACAACTTGTTGTCAACTAGAAATTTTGCTTGACCTTTTTGAATAAATTGAAATTCATCTTTATAAATCATATATAAATCCATAGGATAAAAATAGGTAGACTGGCATAAAACCTGAATGTGGCCTATAATCAATACATACTTACTTGCATATTTTTTTCTTTTCTAAGAAATCTTATATTAGAGCTTCTATTAAAGGTAGCCTGTTTTCAAACCAATACAGGAGGATTGTAGGATAATAGATTGAGAACTAAAAGAGACCTGTGAGAGTGCCAATCCCTTTATTTTGCAGATGAGAAAACTGAATCCCAGAAGGCCGAAGGTCATGGAGGTTGTGAGTATCAGAGCTTGAACCATGGGACAGTGGACCTTTGACTCCAGATCCAATGTTTTTCACTAAGAATGAATGAGTGTATGAGTGAATGAATGAAAATGCATTTATTAAGTGCTTACTTACTATGTGTAAAGTACTGTGCCAAGTTTTAGGGATACAAACATAAAAATGAGATAGTACCTGCCTTCAAGAAGCTTACATTCTAATAAGAAAGATGGTACATTCAATTATAAACTTAGAGCTGGAAAGAACCCGAGAAGTCACTAAGATTCATTCCCTCATTTTACAATTAATGCAGGAATGGCCAATGCAAGTCCTGGGAGCCTGCATATGGAACCTAGGTGGATGTCTGCTGAATCTATTTCTGGGAAGTACACGATGATGTAGAATAGGGAGAGGGGTCCAGCTCCCCACTTTAGAGCGTGCACAGGTATTCTTTGATCACTTCCTTACCCTTACTATATGGTAAAGAGGGGTCTTTTGCTGGGCTACTCAGCTGGAACTGAGAGGGCTAAAAAGACATCAGTGGAGAAACCCATTCTCTTTCCATCCTGCTGACCATGAGGGCTAAGGATGACTCTCTTAGCTCCAGAGGACTGGTGGGGAGGGATTCTCTCTCCTTACAACTGACCCATGGGCAGATCATCTAGTCTAGCCTATATCTGGAATGGGGCTGCTGCATCTTCTTTCCTTTGGCACAGGGTCCTGTGAGACTTCAAAAGATTAGGAGAGTCAGCAGAAGTCCATGACAGGAGTCCACAACAGATACTGCTGTAGTTGGCCAAGCCAAGTTGGAAGAGGTGCCAACTTGACCATGAGAATCAGTCTGCTTGATCCAGCTCAGCAGTGAATTGGCTCAGCGTCCAAGACACTATTTCTTGCAAGCAACGGAGTGACTTGTCCATGGGCTGTGGTACATTTGGAAGTGAACATGGGAGGAAGAAAGTTTGTGGCAACTGCTTTAAGCTTAAGCCTATTCCCCCCAGGTTCCAAAGTGGTAGAAGGGAGAATGTACCCTGGTTTTTGTACTTCTCATCTTACTTCATTTTTTCAGTAAATATCTCTTTGTAAAAACTCAATGTTCTTGTTAATTGATGAAATCAAGAGATATCAACTTGTTAAATGATAATGGGAAGATCCTAATGAACTGGTAAATGATTCCACATAGTGGAATGGAAGTTCAAGAAAATAGCATCTGAAGAAACCCATTATCCCCTTGGGGGTATCCCCAGAACTTGAGGGGGAGATAAAGCTAGATACGCTCAAGGGGCCTGACCTGCTAGTGTGTGCATGGGTGAGCATACTAAGTTCAGAGTCTCACTGCCTACAAATGAGGTAACTGAGGCCATTGGGATGAAGTGACTTGTGCCAGGTCACACAGACAGTAAGTGGTAGTTGTCATCCAGTGGTTTTTCAGTCATGTCTGACTCTTTGTGACGCCATTTGGGAGTGGTTTGCCATTCCTTTCTGTAGCCCATTTTGTTTGTATGTTTGTTTGTTTTTTAGGCAATTGGGGTTAAGTGACTTGTCCAAGGCCACACATGTAGTAAGTGTCAAGTGTTTGGTCTGAAGCTGGATTTGAACTCAGCTCCTCCTAACTTCAGGGCCGGTGCTGTATCCACTGTGCCTCCAGCTGGCCCACTCCAGCTCATTTTGCAGATGAGAAAACTGAGGCAAATGGGGTTAAGTAATTTGTTCAGGGTCACATAGCTACTAAGTGTCTGAGGCTGGATTTGAACTCAGGTCTTCCTGACTCCAGGGCCCATGTACTGCACTACCTAGCTGCCCCATGGCAAGAAGATAGATAGGGGGAGTTGTGAGGCATAGCTGAGGTTGGCTAGATATAGTGGGACTCATCTACTCTGGTTTTTTGGTAGTTTGTTTGTTTTGAGGCTAGGTCTCCATTTCTCACCCAGGCTGCAAGTCTAGTGGCCACTCACGGACCAAATCCCAGTGCTGATTCACTCCAAAGCTTCGACTGATGTGTTCCAACTGGGACTGGTTTGTCCCTTCTTAGACATGCTCACTCTATTGGTGTTAGACATTGGTATCTGGGGACATGTATCTGCTACTCAGCACTGGCAGAAACACAAACATAACCCACCTGTTTTTGGGTCACTGACTTGTTGGAGTCAGGAGAAATCTGGATTCAGATCCCAGGAGCTCTGCTTATTAACTGTGTGATCCTGGATACATCACTTAACCTTTGTTTGCCTCAGTTTCCTCATCTGTAAAGTGGGGAGAGTAATAGTGCCTACCTCCCAGGGAAGTCGTGAGGGTCAATTGAGATAAAAATTGTAAAGTGTTTAACTGAGTGCCTGGCACATACTAGGTGCTAATTATTGTCATTCAGTCTTTATCAGTCATGTCTGACCATTCCTGACCCCTTTTTGAGGTTTTCTTGGCAAAGATACTAGAGTGGTTTGCCATTTCCTTCTCCAGCTCATTTTACAGATGAGGAAACTGAGGCAAACAGAAGTTAAGTGACTTGCCCAAGGTCACACAGCTGGTAAGTGTCTGATGCTGAATTTGAACTCAGGTCTTCTAACTTCAAACACTCCATCCACTGCACCACCTAGTTGCCCCAAGCACTGTTTGATGTTAGCTATTATTATGGTTATTGTTGTTGTTATCACACCTCTCAGAGCCTCAGATTAAATCCTTGTCCTATCTCTCTTTCAGGGTTTTGGTGAACAAAGTACTTTGTGAGCATTGAAGGTCTATTGAAATGTGACCTGTTCTCCTCACATACTTCGCTGGGCCTGAGTTTGGGCACAATCAGCTGAAAGGGACTGCATTGCAGTTCGATGGCAGCTCTGCCCTCCTGTCGGCATTTTCTGGCATTCATGAAAATAAATGGTCATAAAGTAATTGTATTTATTAAAATATGTATTGAACTAATTGCGGTCAGAAATAATGAACTACCTTGTTCTTGTTGTTCAGTCTCTTTGTGATCCCATTGGGGGTTTTCTTGGCAAAGATACTGGACAGGTTTGCCATTTCCTTCTCCAGCTCATTTGACAGATGAGGAAACTGAGGCAAATGGGGTTAAGTGAGTTGCCCAGGGTCACGCAGTGTCTGAGGCAGTTTGAGCTCAGTTCTTCTAGGCCCTGCACTCTGTCCACTGCACCACCTGACCTTAGCCTCGATGGGGCAATGCATAAATGTTCCACCCTAGGAGCTTAGTGTGTGGACACTTACTGATTAACTCTTCAGAGTATGCTTATCCAGAGGTTCCACCTTCTGGCTTTAGAATCCCAGGTATCTAAGGCCTTGGTTACTTCAAAATCAAGAAGTCACCTGACCCACACAACTTCAAACCTACATATTGTAAAATATATATTATTTGGATTGAGGAGAGCTTTGTTTGAATCCTAACTCTTCTGTTTACTAGCTATGTAACCCTGAGCAAGTCTCTTAATCCTTCTGAGCCTCACTTTCCTCATCTATGAAATGGAGGAATTTACTAAATATTTTTTCTATTCCATTAAATTCAGCTTTTAAAAAAAATGATCACTGTACAAAGTACTATGCTAGCTGTTGGAGACAAAAATAGGAGTTGTTGCCTTCAAGGCCTTATATTCTAAGGTGGAGAGGAAGGGACACAGACAAAGCATGAGATAGCCAGAGATAAGTATAAATCAGGTCTTAGGCGTTCTCTCTGGAGGACTGCCGTATTCCTATGAGACTGGAACCAGAAACTAGTCCTAAAAGGGATCAGTCTCTTTGGGATTCTGCTTGATCTGAGACTTGAAGAATGAGAAGAGTTTTGAGAAAGAGGGAGAGTTGGAAAGAGGGAGAGAGAGACACAAACACATACACACACACACACACACGCACACACACACAGAGTTAGAGACAAAAGACAGACACAAAGACAGAGAGCAAGAGACAAAAAACAGAGAATGAGCGACACACAGAAAGACAGACAGAGACACATACACAGAGACACAGAGAGACAGAGACAGAGACAGAAGAAAGATATGCAGAAAGAGAGAGAAATAGAGAGAACTCTAGAGACAGACAGACAGAGAGAACACACAGAGAAAGAGAGACAGAGACAGAAAATAGAGGGGAAGGAGGAGAGGGAAAGATTAAGCAGAGGGGGAATGAAGGAGAAGAAAAATTACTGAAATGTGAAAGTGCAGGGAGTGGTTTGGCTGGAATATTAGATACAAATAAGGAAAGAGAGATAAGGCTGGAAAGGGGAATTGGAGCCAGACTGTGGGCATCTTGAATGAAATGAAGAATTCTGCTATTGAATTTTAAATTGAGTATCCTTTAGGGGCTTGTGATCTGGAAGTCATAAAATGTGAGTGCTTGTACAAATGCTTCCACCTCTTGACTTTGGGAAAAGAATTGGGCTTTAACTTCCTTATCTTAATCTCCCCCCATCACTTCTTCCTTCTTCCTTTCTTATTCCTTATAATGACTTCCTTCTTCCTCTTGATCACACAGTCCATCCTCCCAGTCATTCAAGTTTTCAACTTCAGTGTCATCCTTGACTCCTGACTCTTAATCATCCCACATATCCAGTCCATTGCCCAACCTTGTTCTTTCTACTTTCACAACACCCTTCTTCCATACATAGCTCTTCTCCACTCACACAGCCACAACTCTAGTCAAGGCCCTCATCACAACTTGCCCAAAGGCTACAGCCTTGCAACTGGTCTCCCAGCCTCAAATCGTTTCCCATTCCAATCCATCCTCCATTCAGCTCTCAGGGTGATTTTTTTCTAAAGCTTAGCACTTATTATGTCACTCTCATGCTCAATGAGCTCCAGTGACTCCCTATTACCTCTGTGATCAAATGGGAGATCCTCTGGGGCAGCTAGGCGGCACAGTGGATGGAGCACCGGCCCTGGAGTCAGGAGGATCTGAGTTCTGGCCTCAGACACTAGTTGTGTGACTCTGGGCAAGTCACTTAACCCCAACTTCCTTGCCTACACACACACACACACACACACACACACACACACACACACACACACACACATATATATAATATTATTAAATTATATTATATATAAATACAATAGATAAATATGTGTAGTATATAAATATCATATGTATGTATATATAATACATAAATATTATATATGTGTGTGTGTATATATATATATACACACATATGTATATGTATATGTATATGTTTGTATGAAAGATCCTCTGACATTTTAAAACCCTTCTTAACCTTGCCCGTTCCTGCATTTCCAGCCTCTTACACCTTACTCTCCTCCAAGGACTCTACAATCCAGTGACACTGGCCTACTTGTAATTCTTTGAAGGCAACTGCGCCTCCTGCCTCCCTGCCTTTGAAGTGGCTGGTTCCCCCCACCACCCATAATTCTCTGCTCCCTCACCTTTTAGTTTCCCTTTGTTGTGTTGTTATTTCAGTCATGTTTGCCTTCTGGTGACCCCATTTGGGGTTTTCTTGGCAAAGATACTAGAGTGGTTTGTCATTTTCTTCTCCAGCTCATTTTACATAAAAGGAAACTTAGGCAAACAGGGTTAAGTGACTTACCCTGGGTCACACAGCTTGTTAGTATCTGAGGCCAGATTTGAACCCAGGAAGATGAATCTTCCTAATTCCAGGCTGAGAACGCTATCCACTGCACCACCTAGCGGCCTGTTAGTTTCCCTGACTTCTTTGAAAATTCAGCTCAAATCTCCCCTTTTTCAGCAGAAAGGTTAGCAGGGGTGGGGAACCTATAGCCTCAAGGCCACAGGTTCCCCAGCCCTAGAAGGGTAAATGAGCCAAATCAGAGTAATCTGGTGTCCACATGTTCTTTGTGAGAGGCTTTACAGGGTGGGTGGCCACTCATGTCAGGAAGGATGCTGGTTAATTTGAAAGTATTTAGAGAAAGGCACCCAGAAGGGTCACAGGCCTGGAGTTTATGCCACAACAAGGTCAGCTGATGAGACTTAGGATGCTCATTGATTGATTGATTGTTTTAGTTAGTTCTAGAGGGAAGAATTAGAAGCAATGGGTTTCAGAAGCTACAAATAGTATTTATGAATATAAATATAAATATTCATAGAGCATTTATGTCGGTACTGTAGAAAGTACTTTATAATTATTATCTCATTGGGTCCTCACAACAACTTTGGGAGGTAGGTATTATCATTAATCTCATTTTCAGATGACAAAGCCAGAAATTGACCTGCCTAGGATCACATGGCTAGTAAGTGTCCGAGGCAGAGATTTGAACTCAAATCCTCCTGACTCTACTCAAGGGTCAGCACTTTGTCCACTGCATCAACCTAGCTGCCTAGCGAATTTAGAGCTGCTGTAAGGAAAAATAGCCTAATAAAAAATGAAAGCTATTTGAAAGTAGAATGGGCTGCCTTAGGAGGTAGCAGCTGGACGGCCATTTGTCCGAATGATGTAGAAATGATTCTTGTTCAGCTACGGATTGGACTGATGGTTTCTGAGCTCCCCTCCTACTCTGAGATGATCTGGTTCCATGGTCCAAAGCATTGCAGTTTCTGTGTTTACTGCATCGTCAGTAGTCCTCTGGGGTAGTAAGCAAGGTATTTTTATACCAGAGTTTTACAATTTGCTCTTTCCTGTCTTCTCTCCCCACGATTTTCAGTTACTACTTGCCTCCTGAATTTTTATTTGCAATTAGCAGACTCTTGCCAAATCCCCCCTGAACAAACCCAACTTCCTTCTCCTTCTGCCTGTTCTTTTCTCTTCTCTGCTTTTGCCACTGATCCCACAGAGGCTCCTCTGAGGCGTCTTAATTATCTTTTCTTTTTGCCTCTGCGGCTGCCACTGAAACTGGATGCCATGCTTTGGGATCTATTCCGCCTTCTCTGTATTACCCTTGTCTGCCGTGCACTCCAGACCACAAAAATGGATTTAACATGGCTTAATTACAAGGGAATAGTTCCTGGAATCACAGCATTTTTAGAACTGGAAGAGACTTTAAAGGATATAATTCAGCCCCTCTCCTTTTACAGATGAGGAAACTGAGGCCTAGAACAGTGAAATGATTTGCTTAAGGTCATACAACACATTAGTTGCAAAAGGACTAAAATCTAGTGCTCTATAAAACATACAAATTTATAAATAATACCCAAGGGCAGCAATTCTTTTTCTGTGTCATTTTGGAAGTCTATGGACCCCTTCTCAAAATGGTGTTATAAAATGCACAAGATAAAGTACAAAGAAATAGAAAGGAAATCAATTTTATTGAAAAACAACGTGAATTGAAATACAAATACAATTTATCAGATACATTTTTAAAGGTTCACAGACTTCTCCCGGTTAAGAGCTCTTGAACTCTAAGAACTCTTGAACCAGGGAAGGATGTTTAATAGTGTTAACAAAGGGAAACTACTGAATTCCAGACTAGGTAGTACTTTATTTCTAAGTTTGACTTATGATCCTATCTAGGTTTGGACTCCCATGCCACAATTCTAATTTCCTTCTAGGTCCTTTTTTACTTCCAAAACACATCATCTCTTAGAATTAGGGTACCCTGGTCCAAGCTCATCGATCCAGTTTACAATACTTTGAATTTTGTTGTTACTCAGTTGTTTCAGTCATGTCTGACTCTTGGTGACCCTATTTGGTGTTTTCTCGGCAAAGATACTGGAGTAGTCTGCCATTTTCTTTTCCAGTTCATTTTACAGATGAGGAAACTGAGGCAAACAGGGTTAAGTGACTTGCCCAGGGCCACACAGCTAATAAGTGTCATTGTTGTTGTTGGACTAATGACATCAGGATGGTGATGCCTTGACTGACAAGTGAATCGTGTTAAAGTGAAGCAGAGCTGTGCAAAGTCATCAGCCTCACTCTCCTCCAGAGTCCATAGAATTTGGTAAATAGCTTTAAAT